CACTCAAATGAACAGCAAATCTTTAAAACACAGAAATATGTCAGAGACCCAGACACCTGAGACTTGCAGAAAAAGAAAAGTTTTGGTATTAGTCTCAATGTTGTTTGTCTCAGGTGGCTGTTGCTCTGATCCAGACTTTCTACTGCATTGGTTCTCAACCTTTTAAGGTTTGAAATTGTCTGTAATATCAGCAAGCTGAGAACCACTGCACTGCAGCGACTACAATCACATCAGTGGCTACACATGCTTTTACTTCCTCCCCCAGAGAACAAGTGCAGTGGAGCATCAAGCACAAGGTGGAGATCTACGTCTGGAGGTGAGATTAATCATAACATGCCCTATGGATACTCATGCCCTCTGTTGTTTATACACCTTTAATATCAGCAGCCATGGTGAGGACAGTCTCCAGACCTCTATTCCCTCCCCTTTCTTCCTCTCACCCTCCTCCTTCCTCTTACCACAGAAGGCCTCCTGGAACTTCTTGGTGAGCTTCTCAATCAGGCTGTAGCTCTCCACGTAGTCCACGTGATCCTCAAGAGTCTCGCTGGCCATCTGTCTGAGCGTGGTCATCTCCACGCGACCCACTCCGATGGCGAATATCTCAATGCCGGCCTCTCGCGCCCTTGCTGCACTGTCACGGATGTTGTCCTGAGGTCTGCCATCGGTCACAATAATGGCAACCTGTGAATGTTTATTAATGATTTATTTTACTGAAATGGTCTCAAACTGCTGATTTGCTCACATAATTGTAGATATGTTTGCCTGGGCCTAATGTATCCATTGCGGATTACATAATGCAAGATGCATGTTGCCAAAGAAGAGGCTTAACATTGTTATTGATGCCAATATGGTGGTTTTATGGGATTGTTAGGACTCTGACCTTGCTGATGTCAGGGGATTTGCGCGCTCCCTCTTACCACAGAAGGCCTCCTGGAACTTCTTGGTGAGCTTCTCAATCAGGCTGTAGCTCTCCACGTAGTCCACGTGATCCTCAAGAGTCTCGCTGGCCATCTGTCTGAGCGTGGTCATCTCCACGCGACCCACTCCGATGGCGAATATCTCAATGCCGGCCTCTCGCGCCCTTGCTGCACTGTCACGGATGTTGTCCTGAGGTCTGCCATCGGTCACAATAATGGCAACCTGTGAATGTTTATTAATGATTTATTTTACTGAAATGGTCTCAAACTGCTGATTTGCTCACATAATTGTAGATATGTTTGCCTGGGCCTAATGTATCCATTGCGGATTACATAATGCAAGATGCATGTTGCCAAAGAAGAGGCTTAACATTGTTATTGATGCCAATATGGTGGTTTTATGGGATTGTTAGGACTCTGACCTTGCTGATGTCAGGGGATTTGCGCGCTCCCTCGGCTTCGCTGAAAGCCACATTCATGGCAAACTGGATGGCGAGGCCGGTCATGGTACCGGTGGACAGTGGCTCGATCTTGGACACGGCTTTGACCAGTGCTGCTTTGGTTTTGTGGGACTTCAGAGAGACCTCGCTCTTCACTTGACTGGCATAGTTTACGACGCCCACACGAGTAGCATCAGGCCCGACGTTCAAACCATCAATTACTTTGGTCATGAAGACCTTGACCTGTTCGAACTCTGAGGGGCGGACGCTTCGAGAGCTGTCAATGATGAACACCACATCAGTGGGCTTGGTGTTACACAAGCCTGCAGCTGGAAAGAGTGAAAGAATGAAGAGAAGATGTAAATATGTGTGAATATATGGAGGAGAGAAGTCTCTTATGCTCACCAGCGCTCAAAAATACAGTAATATTGTGAAATATGTTTACAATTTAAATGAACGGTTTTCTATTTGAATATATTTTCAAATGTATTTTATTCCTGTGATGACAAAGCTGTTTTTTCATCAGCTATTAATCCAGGTTTCAGTGTCACATGATCCTTCAGAAATCATTCTAATATGCTGATTTGTTGCTCAAGAAACTTAAAAAAATACATTATAAATGTCTTTACTGTGACTTTTGATGAAAGTATTCATTTCTTTCAAAAGAAAAAAAAATCTTCCTGACCCCAAACTTTTAAACAGTATTGTACATATTGGGGTGAAGGAAAAAAGTGAGAGTGAAAAGCTAGACTGCGGTCTGCAGGTAACTCAATAAATGTACAGTGTTGGTCGTTCTCATAATAACTCCCATTGATTATACATTCAGACTCAGGCAAGCACACACAGATTTACATACTCTCGTGCAGTACAGGGCCTCTTTGTGTACAAATGTAATGACATACAAGTTATGTACAACCACTGGAAACATAACTCTAATTACCCACTTGATTGAAGTTCCTCTGGTATTTTTTAACACATATCTATGCAAATGAAACTAACAATTTAATTATAGATTCTCTAAGCATGACTTTAGAACACAGAAAATTATCTTTAGCACAAGAGGAGATAATGTAATTCTACTCAGAAGTTATAATTAGAAAAATGCTAGATGAAGAAAATTATGCTTCACATTGCATGCTATTTGAGGTCACATATTTGCTTAACATTATCATCCAAACTATTGTGTTAAAATAAAAATATAGGCAAATATGATGATTTTAAATAAAATATTTTTACAGATGTGATAACTCTGTGAAAATGAGTAGTTTAGCATATGTTGTGTTTGGATTCTGGTCTGCATGTATTTAGGCTTCTTAGCTTAAAGGGACAGTTCACCCAAAAATTAAAGTTCTGTCATCATTTACTTACTTTCAAGTTGTTCCAAACCTGTATGAGTTACTTTCTTCTGTTGAACACAAAAGAAGATGTGGCTGAAGAATGTTGGTAACCAAAAAGTTGCTGGTTGCCATTGACTTCTCTAGCCCCATCTTCTTTTGTGTTCAGCAGAAGAAAGAAATTCATACTGTTTTGGAACAACATGAAGGTGAGTAAATGACAACATTTTCATTTTTTGGTGAACTGTCCCTTTAAACCAGCTTCAGAAAAAATAACATGCTGGTTGACCTGCATTCTTTTGCTATTCTTTGTAGTTATAGTTATTTAGCATACAGGTCAACCAACACTTACCAGCATGCATTTCAATGCCTTTTCAGCAAAGAACACAACTACATTAAACCAGCCAGACTCATTTTTGTTGCCCTTCATTACATATTTAACAACACAAAATTATTCCTGTTGTTATTGGGTTATTAGTATCCAGTTATAAATTCATGACATTGATGGATCTGTTAATGATGCAGTCTGTTTTCTTACCCATAGCAGCAGCATTTCTCAGATCCACAGTGGCTTGAGCTCCCAGGATGCATAGCAGCATCACAAACCCCGGCAATGTCATACTGTAATGCGGCGTGAGTCCTAATGACCTGCTCGACAACCAGAGGCAGACTGATTCACAGACAGAGAAACGTGTAGGTTATCAACACACACATATTCACAGATACACACTTCAGTTTCGAGACGCCGCCCTCAAATCCATCTCCCAGAGGTGTATGGACTGTTTTGGGGGGAGGGGGATACCTGCTCTGAAAAACCTAGAGTTTGGGTATGAAAGATAAACACACCTTGATCTGTGTATATGTTTGTGTAAGGGAAACCGAGTTCATTTGGAGCCCTAGGAGGGGTCTCTAGCTTGGGGTTGAACTCAAATAAACATTAAGATGAATCTGTCTTTTCTGGGCACTTTTCCTCTCAATTTAATCTCACACACGCAGGAATTTATGCACAGGAATTATGTGGGAAGCCTCCGTGCCTGATCCAACACAGACGGCTCTGTTCTGACTATGTGTACGTGTACGTCTGTTTTTCTTCTATATGCACCATGCAGTGTCTAGTATGTCTGTTGGGAAATGCGAGTGTCCATGCGAGCACATGTAGGCCTGTGTCTGTGCGTGAGATAAAAGTTGATAACACTGAGTGCGATACAGCATTTCTATTAGAGGTGTAGGCCACATTTTCACCTGTCAGTACAAAATAGTTAAAAATGTCATATATTATTTTCTGTCACTGGCAGACACCCTTATTAAACCTGCATGACTTACGTCTATGTAACATGAAAGGAGATATTTTACAGAGTGTCCAAAATTAAAATGAATGGTGACCACAGCTGTTAAGCAAGATTATCAGTGAATGACTTAAATTTCAGCCAGTTCTTTACAAAAAGCTATTGTATGCCTTCAAAAGACATGAAACGCACTGCACAAATTGTATAAATTTTTTTTATACTTTTTGTAATTTTGGGCTCGACAGCCCTGGTTACTCTCCACTTTCAGTGTAAGCAGCTCAAACAATCTTCTAAACAACCCGTTTTTTTGTTTTTTCTCAAATAAGTTTAGAACGACATAGGGGTCAGTAATCTTTTAAAGCTTCTTGTGAAGGACCCAGAAACACTCGAAAATAATTCCCCGGTAGTCCAGTTTGTCTATGTAAATGAGGTGCGTGTGTTTGTTTTATATATTGCATAACACAGCAATTAAGGTATCTAAACACATACTGTTTCTCCTGCTTCCATCCATCCCCAACCTGCTGGAAAAACCATGTGAAGTGTGATGCAAATGACATTGACAAGAACATTAAAGGGTTTTTTCTTGCACCATCTGTACCACACTATAGCATGCTCAAGTCTCCTGGAAAAAGCTTGAGCTCTTTATAATTCATTTTGAAAATGTGTGGCTATTGACCAAATTAAGTGGAAACTAAGGTATATGAAACGGTTTATATATATATATATATATATATACTAAATATTTTAAATGCTTTACATATATTTTGTCACGTATCGCTGAGCATGATGTGAAGATTTACATGTTTGAATTTTATGCAATTATATCAAGCAATTTAAATGGTTATTACAGGGATTCAATTTCCCGTCTTTGCTTACACAAACAGCTTAAACTGTCTCATAATCGTATAACCAGATCTAGCTTTTGGCTTGTGATCAAATGATAAGCATGACAGTGACGCATGAGAGAAACGTTACTGTTTAAACCGAATGTCTGCCAGTAAGAACACAATAATTAGAAACACATAAATTAAGTACCTTTATTTTGTAAAAGCATAGATGTAAGCATAGCCATGCCTGTTTGTGTTGCATGTGGATGTGGTTGTTCGTATGCGTGTGAATATTTGTGCTTAATATTTGTGGTTTAAACCCAAAGGGGTTTTTTGCATCATAAAACCATGCCTGAAGCACGCATTGAGTTTAAGCCTCATGATAGGAAGGGGGAGTATCTTCTGCTCTCATCTTGAGAGCCTCATCATAAGAAGGCAGCTTCACCTGTTAGCCAAAAACAAAGCATATCCAAATGTTTTAAACAGTAGATAAATTATTATTATTATTATTAAATAACTACATATAGTTGATCTATTTGTGTTAAACAATCACTCAAAAAATTGGGCAGTGACTTGGAATTGGAGGTTTATAATATATATATATATATATATATATATAGATGTATGTGTGTGAAAAAATGTATATGTTATACAACAACATTAAAACTGCTGTATCGTGTGACAGCAAAACAAACTCCATTATAAATGCACTCACTGTTACAGTATTTCCAGTCTCAACACTGACGGCAGCCATACTTTCTGCTTTCAGGGCATAGAAACACCTCGTTGACACATGAAGGACGTACACCTACACAGAAAACACAGGGATACTAATAAAGGCCAAATGCACCAAATTATTCTAAACATATAAATGAACACACTTATATGCAAAAACCATCCAGAGGGGAGTTTAATTTCCCTCTACCTTTTCCCAAATCCTTCTCAAGGACAGAACACACTTTATGACTGGCTCCATACATCGCATTCATTCCTCAAATTCCCCTTACATTCCCTCTTCTACAGCTAAAAAAGCTTTGCTTTAGACCAGGGATCCTCAAATCTGGCCCACGAGATCCACTTTCCTGCAGAGTTTAGTTCTACCCTAATCAAACACACCTGAGCATGCTAATCAATGTCTTCAGGATCATTAGAAAATCACAGGTAGGTGAGTTTGATCAGGGTTGGAGCTAAACTCTGCAGCGCATTGGCCCTCCAGGGCAAGATTTGAGGAACCCTGCTTTAGACCAGTGATCCTCAAATCTGGCTCACGAGATCCACTTTCCTGCAGAGTTTAGTTCTACCCTAATCAAACACACCTGAGCATGCTAATCAATGTCTTCAGGATCATTAGAAAATCACAGGTAAGTTTGATTATAGGGTTGGAGCTAAACTCGAAAAGTGGATCTCGCGAGCCAGATTTGAGGATCACTGCTTTAGACTGTACAAATCAGACCAGTAGACAAAACAACACTGTGTGTGAATATAGGTGTATGCGTGTTTGCAGGAGTTCATTATTATAAATTATTACATGTATTATGTCATATATCCACTACTTATTGGATCAGTAATATTTTAGAAATGTATACTTTTAATCAGCAAAGACGCATTACATTTATCGAAAAAGTGACAATTTAAGATATTTGTAATGTTATAAAAGAAAAATGTATCATGGTTGCCACAATCATTAAACAGCACAACCGTTTTGAACATTGATAACAATAATAAATGTTTCTTAAACAGCAAATCAGCATACTAGAATGATTTCTGAAGGATCATGTGACACTGAAGACTAGAGTAATGACTGCTGAAAATTCAGCTTTGCCATCACTGGAATAAATTACAATTTATAGACAAGTTATTTAAAAATGTAATAATAATAATAATAATATTATTTTATTTACATAGCACCTTTCAAGAACCCAATGAAACTTTACATAATATTGGCAAATAACACAATAATATACAAACAGGGAACAAAACACTTTCATAATAATATAGTTTTAACTGTATTTTTTTTATCAAATAAATGCAGCCTTGGTGAGCATAAGAGACTTTCAAAAACATTACGGTAGTGTATCGATTTGAAAGTTTAAATGAAAATTGCTTTATTGATAAAAGTAGTAAATATTTTAAAATCTTTTAAAACCTATATTTAAATATATAAAAATACTGAAATATATATATTAAAATATATCTAAAACTTGTTTTCTGGTTTAGATATAATTTTGAATCCCAGTTTTTCAATGTAGTTTGAGACTTTTGAAGGCAATTATACAGAAATGCACACATGTATTTATACCTTCAGCAGTATGTACATCATATAGAGAACGGAGTATGACATGGTGAACTGGCCAATTTCCTCTTCATTCAAACTATCGACTCTCTTCTGACCCTTCTGTTAGAGACATACATACATGTACACATTAATTGGGGAGAATTATGTTGAAATTGAAAGCTGATTAGCCATGCAGTTGTCATGAAGTCAACATTTAGTTTTGTGACCAAATGTATGTTATGTATCTCACTACAACTCGCAGCATGTCTCTGTAGTTGGGGGTCCCTGGCAGACCCCAGGCTCCGTCAAACAGGCACAGAAAACTCAGACTCAGCTCCACAAACATCATCAGCACAAAAGGCAGCACAAACATCGGGCCCTTATACAGAGAGACACAAGTGTTGAATTATCTTTCTGTCAATAACACATTCAATCATTCACACTCCATATAGAAAAAGGTAAGAAATTAAGAGAAAAAAAAATATTTTCCCTGTTATAGACTGATCAGATTTGAAATGTGTAGTTTGGAGAGAGCGCTAGGACTCCGTGTTTCACCACCTTCATAAATATTGAGACAAGCTCTCTTTCTGGAAGCTGGGTAAATATTGGTGTCGGCTGCAGAGTTGAAAATCTAAGGTGCACACTCGCACACACTAAACCACTGCTTATGCACACTTACACACGCATAAACATCCAATAAAACTAAAACAGACCAGACTTATTTAAAAGGTTTCACCACACAGATCGTTACATTACAAATTTAGTATGTATATTTGTCTTCAGTAGCACAGATTTATTATTGTTCTTGTGAACTCCCCAATGAGTATTTATTAGAGTAAGTTACTGTGCTGAATATGGTGTGCATTCAAACAGCACAGAAGTCATAGTATAATAATGGCATAATTATTCCAGGTTAAATTAAATATTTTTGCAAGTAAATGCTATAAATTAATATTTAGTGTGATATAATAACCTTTAGTGTCATTATTAAAACCTGTCCTAAAATGAATCAAACAAATAAATAGTGAATATTAATTTTATTTCTGTCAAAATTTGGTTTAGCATTGTATTTTATTAGTATGCTCGGGAAGATGAAACTAACACAGTATGTTCTTGTAATCTGCTGTATTAAAAAAGCATCTGACGACAAAAACAAAAAAAATATATATATTTTTTAAACTAGACCCTAAAATGGTATATAATCATTGCATCATGCATAAGTATATAACTATCAACTGCAATTCACCTAATGTAATATTTAAATTTTTTACAGTAAATAAAAATAAAATAAGATAAAATTGAAACTAACTATATATAAATATTTTTATTCCATTCATATCAATGCAGTTATTCATGTATTAATGTATTTAAATGTATTCTGTAATGTAACACTGCTTTTGCTCATAAACCACATTTAATTAATTTATTTCTGTACTGATGTTTTCAGACTAATGTATCACTGTGTGTTCCCCCACCATTTCCATTTATTTATGTTTAGAGTATAGATGGAAGCTGTATTTTTCTGTCAGTGGCAGTGTACACAGTACCTTGCGTTTAGAGAACAGGACCAGCACAGCAGAGATCGACATCAGAACCAGCATCAGGATGTTAGTGCTGATGTCAACTGGAAAGAAACAAAGACAGAGAATTTTAATGGCTTTCAATTTAATATCTTAAATTATTTCTTTATCAAATACTGTTATTTGAATGTTTCTTTTATGTTGTGCTAAATGACTAAGTAATTTATGTCTTATACTGAACAATGTTTGGTCAAATGTAGCATTTAGTGATTTTTATATTGATTTCATAAATAGATTGATTAAATGTTTTTATTTTTTATAAACACTAAAGGTGTTTTTATTTAAAGGGGTCCTATTATGCTATTTTACAAAGTCTTGATTTTGTTTTGGGGATGTACTAGAACATGCTCTCATGCGTGGTGGTTCGAAAAACACATTATTTTTCACATAACTTACATTATTACAATACCTTTCTCCCCAGCCTGGCACAAACGGCTCGATTAGTTCCAGCTTTGATGAAGGCCCGGCTTCCGAAAAACTAAATGTGGTGTGATTGGTTAGCTGTCCCAGTGCGTTGTGATTGGCGAACAGCTTAGACGGTGTTTCAGTACTGCCCCCCGCCCCTTGCCAAAGCAGCAAGTTCCGTTTGCTCTGGTATAGTTAAAGCTGCAGTCCGTAAGTTTTGCCTCTTTGTCGCCATCTCTGTTTGAAAACATGCAATTGCAGCTGTGTGCAGAATTATCTTCCTTGCGTGGGTTGTGAGTCGGCGCGGCTCCAGCGCGGATGAATCTACAGGTGCATCTCAATAAATTAGAATGTCGTGGAAAAGTTAATTTCAGTAATTCAACTCAAATTGTGAAACTCGTGTATTAAATAAATTCAATGCACACAGACTGAAGTAGTTTAAGTCTTTGGTTCTTTTAATTGTGATGATTTTGGCTCACATTTAACTCAACAAATTAGAATATGGTGACATGCCAATCAGCTAATCAATGCAAAACACCTGCAAAGGTTTCCTGAGCCTTCAAAATGGTCTCTCAGTTTGGTTCACTAGGCTACACAATCATGGGGAAGACTGCTGATCTGACAGTTGTTCAGAAGACAATCATTGACACCCTTCACAAGGAGGGTAAGCCACAAACATTCATTGCCAAAGAAGCTGGCTGTTCACAGAGTGCTGTATCCAAGCATGTTAACA